GTCTCCTTTGTCAAATATTAATTGAGCATAATGTCTTGGGTTGATTTCTGGGTTCTCTGTTCTGTTCCATTGGTCTATATGTCTGTTCTTGTGCCAGTACCAGGCAGTTTTGAGAACAGTGGCTTTGTAATATAGCTTGATATCTGGTATTGTGATCCCTCCAACTTTGTTCTTTTTCAGGATAGCTGTGGCTATTCTGGGTCTTTTTTTATTCCATGAATTTTTGGAGAGTTTGTTCTAGGTCTGTGAAATGTGCCATTGGTATTTTAGTAGGGGTTGCATTGAATTTATAAATTGCTTTGGGTAGTATGGACAATTTAATGATGTTGATTCTACCAATCTATGAACACAGTATATTCTTCCATTTGTTTATATCTTCCTCTATCTCTTTTTTCCATGTCCTGTAGTTTTCTGAGTACAGGTCTTTTACCTCCTTGGTTAAGTTTATTCCTAGGTATCTTAATTTTTTTGGTGCAATGGTAAATGGGATTGTTTTTTTAGTTTCTCTTTCTGTGAATTCATTATTGGTGTATAAAAAAGCCATAGATTTCTGGGTGTTAATTTTGTATCCTGCTACATTGCTGAATTCATTTATTAAGTCTAGTAGTTTTTTTATGGAGTTTTTAGGGTTTTCTATGTACAATATCATGTCATCTGAGAATAATGACAGTTTTACTTCTTTTCCAATTTGGATGCCTTTTATTTCTTCTTCTTGTCTGATCACTATGGCTCGCACTTCCAGTACTCTGTCAAACAGGAGTGGTGAAAGTGGGCATCCCTGTCTTGTTCCTGTTCTTAGGGGAAATGGTTTTAGTTTTTGCTGTAGGTTTGTCATATAAGGCTTTTATTATGTTGAGGTATGATCCCTCTATTCCCACTTTGCTGAGAATTATTATGAAGAAAGTTTGTTGGGAGGGCATGAGTGGGGGGTGGGGGGGCATTAGGAAGATAAGGACACATATGTAATACCTTAATCAATAAAGAAAAATAAAATAAAAAAGAAAGGGTGTTGGATTTTATCAAAGGCTTTTTCTGCATCAATTGATATGATTGTGATTTTTGTCTCTCAGTTTGTTTATGTGATGTATCACATTTATTGATTTACATATATTGTACCAGCCTTGCATCCCCAGAATAAATCCCATTTGGTCATGGTGTATGATCTTTCTAATATAATGTATTTATGTTACTTTAAAAAGCTGTATTTTAATTTTAGAAGAGCTGAAAGTACCAATGAGCATTCGGTCAGCCTCCTCTGAGAACAGGAGAGATCGGGTCTTACATGTAGACCCTTCCAAAGTGAAGCTTGCCTTATGTAAGATCTATTGGTGCAGTCCTTTAAATATTACTAAGATTTAGTGTGGCCGCATGGTAAGATAGTGTACTGTCATGAAGTTGTGTCTAGTTTATTATTTTTAAAGTGTGTTTTTCTTTTTTTAATTTGTTGATTGGTTTGAAAGAGAGAGAGAAAGAGAGACAAACATTGATTTGTTGTTCCACTTATTTATGCATTCATTGGTTGATTCTTGTATGTGCCTTGACTGGGGATCAAACCTCCAACCTTGGTTTATTGGGACTACACTCTAACCAACTGAGCTACCCGGACAGGGTCAAAAAGTGGGGCGTTATATCACTTCACAACAAAGAAAACATTACTAAATTGTGTAACTTTAAATTACTTGTTTTTTAGTTTTTGCTTGCCTGGGATTTTTGTCACCTGCCAACAGAGGAGCACTGATGACTTGTGCTGTGGTCCTATGGGTGCTGTTAGGCACTCCTGCAGGCTATGTCACTGCCAGATTCTATAAGTGTAAGTAAAAGCCATCCTGACTAGGTGTCAGATGGCGATTCTAATATGCTATATCATTGTGTGTGAGACTTGTTGATGCTTTAAACCAGCGGTCACTAACCTTTCAGACCTCATTGACCACCAGTGATCCATGGACTACCGGTTGGTGACCACTGCTTTAAACAATATGTATTATAGGTGTGCATCTTTATTTAAAAGAAGCTTGTGAAGTGAATGACTATCCCTAGATTTATTTGTTAAAAGATGCTTATACAGTGAAATAGGCAAATTTAGGTGCTGCTTATCCACCATCCCATCTTTTTTTTTTCTTTTAATTTTGACTTAACAAGTTCAGCTGAACAATTTAATTTGCTACATTTATGGAAACATATGTGGACTAATGAAGAAAGTCTACAAATAGTTATCACCAATTTAATCACTAAAACAAGTAATATATACAGGGATACCTTTTCTTACATGAGAGAAATCATACTTATAATTAATGTAATATTTATAAAAATAAACTGTATTTAAAGTAAACTAAGATCTCACTTTTTTAAAGAGCCTTGAAGTAAGTTACTTTTGTAATATGGTTGGTTGCAATCTCATATATTCTTGCTTTCCAAAAATAAAGTTCAGTGGATAAAAGGATTAGGGCCACAGAGTAAAGATGGGTTGGAATTAGATGGCTTAGAAAGCTCGTTCACCAGGGGTAGTGATTGCCAGAGTTTGCCTGATTTAGGAATCCTGAAATCCACTAAGATGGTTTCATAGGTAATCTGTGAATTAAAGTGCCAGGGAGATGGGACCAAGCTAGGGTTGATAACGATTTTAAGGCTTGAGCTAAAACAGTAGGGTTACATAGCTGGCCTTAATGTGTGGTGAGCTAGACTCAACCCCAAGTAGAAATATTAGTTAGACTTTGCCAGATACAATTTTCTCTAGAGTATGAAGTCTGTATGTATGTATGCATAAGTGTGTTTAATTTCTGTGAATTTTGTCAAGTTTTTTTCTTACATCCTTTACTAAAGGACACAGAATTAAGGTGGTCATGTGTATTTTAATACATGTCAAATATAGTTGGACCACTGCTTACACATAAGCTCCCCACCCCCTTTTTTCTAATACATTTTTATTAATTTCAGAGAGGAAGGGAGCAGAAGAGAGATAAAAACATCAATGATGAGAGATAATCATTGATCAGCTGCCTCCTGTACACCCCTCACTGGGGATTGAGCCAGCATCCCGAGCATGTGCCCTGACAGGAATTGAATCAGAAACTCTGGTTCCTAGGTTGATGTTCAACCACTGAGCCATGTCAGCTGGGCCCCCATTCTTACTGTTTTAGCTATGCTGACTTTCTTTCAGTTCTTCAATCACGTAGTGGACCCTTACACCTGCCTAAGGACCTTTCCACATGCTATTTCCTCTGCTTGAAGTTCTAGTCCATACTCCCTCATCCCATACAAATCCCCCTTGACTCCTCTTCATTCTTAAGATCTCCCAGTTACAGATTAAGTAGCATATTAATCAGGTAGAACGTTCTGAGAGGTGTTGTTCCTTGGCCTCAGTCACAAAGTACTTCATTATGTAGAGTCATTTCTGATGTTTAAAAAATATCATTTGAATTTTGATTGGAATTGTATTAAACCCAAAATTAATAATTTCACAATAGTCTCTTGAGAATAGTTCTCTGACTTCAAATCATATATATAATTGTCATTTTCTTTTGGGCAAGTGGTGCTTGCTTATAAATTGTGTTAACACTTTTAAACAATCAAAGTTGTTCTCAGATCTCAGCCAGTTTTATCCCCAACTTTTAAACTGGGAGCAGAGGAATACTTTCACTTTTTATTCTATGTACTTGAGTTTTTTATTTTTATTTTTTAAGTGGGGAAAAAAATTGAAGAGGGAAGGAGCAAAGGAGAGTAAAATGTTCGTAAGCAAATCTGTTCTGTCAAGTGGTCATAACCCTTCTACTCATAATAACCTGATATGACACTGATCTCCCACCTCCACCCTCCTTCTAACAGTAACTATAGTGCTAAAGGAATCTTTACAATTCAGACTTAGTATGGAAGTTTAAATGTGTTGCACGTCAGGCTTTAGAGTTCTTGGTTTTATAACAAACTAGAGGTCCAGTGCATGGATTCGTGTACCGGTGGGGTCCCTCGGCCTGGCCTGCACCCTCTTGCAATCCGGGACCCCTCGGGGGATGTCAGGTAGCCAGTTCTGGCCCGATCCCCACAGGCCCAATCCAGACAGGAGGGAGCCTGATCCTGTGCATTGAGCATCTGTCCCCTGGTGGTCAGTGCACATCATAGTGACTGGTCAACCGGTCATTTGATCGTTTAGGCTTTTATATATATAGATTCTGAGACTGACCTCAAGATAAACAAGAACCTCTAGAGTGCCCTTTTTCTACTCAGTCCCATTATTGAAACTGGCCTAGAAGATAGGTTTGTTTTATTTTGAAGTAGAAAAAAGAATGGGAAAGAAAAATTGATATGGATGACTTTCCTTTGATACTAGATTTATTTTATGCTGAAGCAAAAATCATTAGAGTAGGACTTACCTAGGGCAGTCTTGTGATGTGCATCTCTGATTTGAATCACTTGGGTAAGGAATAGCAAATCATTTCTTAATGCCATTTTCTATGGAAAGGCACCCAGGACTCTTGACAGTTTGTCCAATACCAGACTTGGAGTATAGCTTTGAAGAAAAGTCTTTATGTTATGCCATTTTTGTTTTCTTCGACAGCCTTTGGAGGTGAGAAGTGGAAAACAAATGTTTTATTGACAGCATTTCTTTGTCCTGGGTAAGTGAATTTTTCCATAATAATTTTCTTAACATAGTCATATTGTGATTCTCAAATTTTTAATCCATTTAATCTTTTCTGTGTACTTAAGATAATGAATTGAATTTTTCAAAAGGGGTAAAATAAATATTTAATAAACATTTGCAGAATGATTAAATCTTCGTCTTAGTCTGTGGAAGTTAGTATGGCATGTCGTTGTGTATGCTGTGTTTTAAAGCTTTGTGGCATGATCATAGAAAGGAATCCTCACCTGGTATAATTCAGGCAGGGATACATTTTCAGGTTTTTATTGAAAGCCTTGCTGCTTTTTAGAGTTAATTCCATTATATAGAGTAACATATACCAAAATTTTTTTGAAAAATTTTAGAAGCCACCGCATATAAAAACAAAACAAAAATGTCCCTTTGGGGACAGCTTCCGATAGCAAGTATCTGATGTACATGTAACCCTGGAAATAGAACCCATTTCTTCCCATCTCCCCAAACTCTCCCCTTCTGGTGGGCAAAAACTAGCCTCTGAATAAGTCAGCAGCAATAAAGCAAGCCAAAGGTTAACTCTAGAAGCCAGGACTGTTTCATTTGCAGGCCAGAAGTGAAAGAGTAACAATAGCCAGAATTTTAATAAACATTTGGGATAAATATTCTCAGGTTTTCATCTATTGAAGATTCCCATGCCTTTCAGCCATTCATGTTCTGTTCAAATTTGTATGCTTTTCTCAAGCTGTATCTTTTGTCCTCTTTTTTCTGCTGTCAACTTAGGAAGTGTCCCTCCTTACCAGGACTCGGCCATAATTTCCTTCAGAATCTTGCCTTTCAAATGTCCCCCCGATCTCTAACAGCTTCTATTTCTCCTTTTCTCTATGTTCTGTTCATGTGTTTCATATCTTATTCCTACAAATATGCTTAGGTGTCCCAAATCCTAAAAAGAGCTTCCATACTGTCTACTATCTTATTTAATTTCCATTCCCAACAAAATACCTCTACACTTCCTTTCTCTCATTTTCTCAACATACATTTACAGAATAAAGCCATGCCATCTGTTTTTTTTTCCTCCTGTCATTTTAGTGAACTTCTCTCTAAAGTTACCAGTGATACCATTTTCAAATCTAAAAATGTTTTTCTCTGTCTTTATCTCTCAACATTGTCTAACATTGGGATACCTTCTCTTTGAAACTCCTTCCTTTTTTGGCTTCATAGAAATTATCCCTTCCCTGTTCCTTTATGTCTCTGAAAAACCCTTCTCTGATCTTCTTCATTCCACTTTTAAAAGTAGATGTTCACCAGTAGGATGGTGAGGTAAACAGAGAGAGATAGAGACAGACACAGCCAAGAACCGAAGTTCCCGCCCGGAGCAAGAGAAATTGGTGTTCACCTAGGAAAGGAAGCATCATTTAATAGTATTAAATTCATATAATTTTATATAAATAAACACCTGCATATAATTATTACAGTAGATACAACAAGAATTTAATAGAGAACTGCTTTCTTATATTAATAAAAATCTCATCTCTAATTCAAAACCAACATCATTTAATGATGAAACACTAGACACATTTTTATTAAATCACTTTTGTATTTAAGTTCTATTCACAGCATGAGACAAGGAATACATTTCCAAAAGTGGAGATCATATTATTATTTATTGGTGACAGTTTGTACATAAAGAACATTAACAAATTTCAGATATATATAAACTTGTAGAATTAAGAGTTTAGCAGAATGGCTAGATATCAGCTAATACTCAAAGATCATGAATCCCACCAATAGCAAATTAAATATTTTAATCCTAGTGGTATTTTTGTGGGAAGAGAAATCTATTTACAGGAATATTAGCAACAGAAAACATTTACAATACCTGAAGTAACTTCTGAAAATAGGCACGATCCATATGACAAATCTACAATGCTTATTAACTAGTAAAAGATACAAATTCACCATGTTACTTGATGAGAAGACTTAAGTATTCTGAAGGAGTTTGGAGATGTCCCATGGCTAGCAAGACAGAGAACACAAAAATAGACCGTGTATATATGGAATTATGCTAGATGTGGCATCAAAAACCAGAGGAACCATAAAATGATGCTGGAACAATTGATTATATGAAGGGAGAAATATTCTGTTTTTACCTCACACATGAAATCAGTTCTAGGTGGATTAAAATCTAAATGTAACAGGCATAATAATTAGATGAAAATATAGAAGGTTAGGAAAAGCTTTCTTTTCTTAAACAAGTTACCCAAAGGATAAAGGGAAAAAAGTGATGACTTTGATGAATAAAAAACTCTGTGGGTTATATAGAAGTGATTGTAGTATGATTATAGTCGTGTTTTCTAAAATGTACTCATAGAAAAAAGACTGAAAGGAAATTAAGTACACATATTTAAATGTTTGAGTTCATTAAAAGTCATAAACTGGAGAACAAGATATTTAACAAGGAGTTCGTTGCTAGAGTATATAAAAGCTGACATATGTGACTTTGCAAAAGCCATGCAACCCAAATGAAAAATGAGTAGTAGATGTAACCAGCAAGTCACAAAAGGTAAGGCCTCAGAAGCCAACAAACACAGGATGATCAGCTACAATTGTCAATAGGAAATGCAAATTAAACAACAAATCTGACAATCCCAAATATAACGAAAATATGTAAAGAGGTAACTTTCAGCCCTAACTGGTTTGGCTCAGTGGATAGAGCGTCAGCCTGTGGACTGAAAGGTCCCAGGTTCGATTCCGGTCAAGGGCATGTACCTTGGTTGTAGGCACATCCCCAGTTGGGGGTGTGCAGAAGGCAGCTGATCGATGTTTCTAACTCTCTATCCCTCTCCCTTCCTCTCTGTAAAAAATCAATAAAATATATTTTGTTAAAAAAGAGGTAACTTACAGAAGCTGCTGATAGGAATTTAAATTAGGCACAACCAATCTAAAGAGCAATTTGACATTTTCTACGAAGTTTTATATTCACATAGCCTATGACTTAGCAATTTTTCTTTGTATATAACACAGAAATTGTGATATTATTACATATGATAGCTACCATTTATTTCATTTTGTTTCTAACTCAAGTTTTACCTAAAAGCCTCTTTTATCTTTCAGGATTGTATTTGCTGACTTCTTTATAATGAATCTGATTCTCTGGGGAGAAGGATCTTCAGCAGCTATTCCTTTTGGAACACTGGTTGCCATATTGGCCCTTTGGTTCTGCATATCTGTGCCTCTAACGTTTATTGGTGCATACTTTGGTTTTAAGAAAAATGTAAGTTTATAGGTGTTAACTTATTCAAATGAATTTCAACTGTGGGAACTAATTTATGCCACCTTAAAAGATATGTTTCTAAAAGATACAGACTTGTCCTGTGGGATCTGGATTTCACAGAAAATTGATGACTTCAAAGTTTGATTGCAGTCATTTAAAAAAAAGTCGTATATACTCAGGAGTGTGGTAGAGAGATTACAGATATAAACAGATTTCAAAGTTTTTTAAGTAAATGGAAACTAATACAAATTGATAGGAAATGAAAAGCTAATTTAAACTAATTAAAACTCTGAATTTTTGACATTAAAATAAATTATTTTACTTTTTTTTTTAACCTAAAAAGTATGTGCATTTTTTCCTTAACAATAAGTGTTTCTAGTTTGCATTATTTAAATAAACCAAGAGTACGGGTTAGGAAGTGAAGTAAAAAAGTGACCATAAAATAAGACTAGCAGTTTTTAAAATATGTAGCTTTGAAATAAATTTCATATATTTATCTGCTAATACTTGATTTTAAGGAAGATTATAATCAAGTTCAGCCCTTCCCTTCCTTTTCTCTATCTTTCTCTACCTCTTTTTACCCTCAGGCTAAGAAGAAAATTAGAATTTTTTCTTCAGTGTCATTCTCTAACTTTACTATCCTTGCTCTTCTCTGAAAATATTCAGTCCACAAGTTAAAAGAAATAACGTATCACAGTATACTTTGTGAGGCAACCTGGAACCTTTGGAAGAAACTATAAGTGCTTCATAGTCTCCACCGCATCTACCATGCCAGTGTACTAAAAGATTTTTCAGTTTTTTGACATTTTGTTTAATTTATGGTTTAAAATCTAAATAGCATAAATAGTAAACTGTTTGAAATTTTTTAAATTACAGATTAAGTACTGAAAATTATAAAATATAAAAATTGAAGAAAGATATGTAATGATTCTATGCACATATATACATATATCTACATCTATAATAATCTAGTCCATGGAAGTATAATCTCAATGAGACTGACAAGTTTTAAATTTTTATGTATCATCACAAAAATTTTAGAAGTATGCTTTGAACTTTCTTGCAAGAAAATGAACTTGTACATACCTGCCCTTTTCCCCTCTCATGTAACTATGTTTAGGTACTTTCGTTTCTAGTGTTTTTATACTATCATGTAATGTGTTATGAAAGAGAGAATAATTGAGAACATCTCCCATACCTTATAGTCATAAAGCTTCATATATTCATTGTCTTCTTCATGTTCTTAAGTCTTAGTAAAATTGAGCTATTTTAATAAAGATGACATCGCCCATCTCTAAATAAAAATACATTGACAGAATTTAAGAATCAGATGATTTCTTACAGGGGGTATATATATAAAAGGGGGGAAAACCCTTTTTATTAACTATTATTTTCCAAGTATTATATTATCTCCTGTGTATTTCATACTTTGTGTAAAGCCATTAGTCAGTGGATAACTGCTGGAAACAGTGGTGGCTTGTTCCAGTAGACAGACTGTTGCACCGGATAGTATCTGGTTTGTGGCTTCTAAATAAAGATTTCTGTGGGATGACTTAGGTAGACTTGTATTGCCATTAATGTCACCATGGAAGCTGAGAAAAAAAAAAAAAACAGGCAAATAATCTAGTACAGAGAAGAATTTTAAAAGTATATATGTAATTATGAACCCTTTCTTTACTGAAGGCCATTGAACACCCAGTTCGAACCAATCAGATTCCACGTCAGATTCCTGATCAGTCCTTCTACACAAAGCCATTGCCTGGTATTATCATGGGAGGAATTTTGCCCTTTGGGTGCATCTTTATACAGCTTTTCTTCATTCTGAATAGTATTTGGTAAGCTAAGGACTAAGTCCTCTTATTGCCATTACCATTATATGTATTACTGGCTTTCTCTTTTTGTTTATATGGATTACTGTTTATATCTTACAAATTTAAGCTGCTCTCCAATAATCAGATATCTTAAGAGCAAAAAAGTAATTTTTTTTTCATGTGGGAAAAAGATAATAGTGATAGCTATGATTAATTGAGGCTTATTAATTCTTACTCTAACTTAATTCTCAGATCTCTATGAGGTGTTTATTATCCACATTTTACAGAATAAAAATGAGGCTTTAGAAGTTAAGTGATTTAATTTGCCTGTGTCACATAGTTACCATGTGACAAAAAAGTTAATCCAAATCTCCAAACCTATGTTCTTAAATAAGTCATCTGTACTGCTTCAGAGAAGATACTCTGAGCTCCTGATCGAGAGGTTTCGAGCAGGCTTTGGAGGAAGGGTTGAGCTAGCTAACCTTTCAAAGTCCTTTATTATCCCAAGAGTCCTTCATTCTCTGACTTCTTATTTTCATTGAAAAACTTATAGAGTTAATTTTGAGCCACTCCATTAGGGTGTATACAGTCTTCGGGATACGTAGGACTCAACGTCATTTCGTGGTTACGTTGCCATCTCCCATTTATTTATAAAACAAAAGTTCTGTCATTTTGACGTATGTACATATGTGCTTTATGTTTTTTATTATTTATTTACCACAAGTGAAGATCAGGAATTGTTATCTTTCTTTTAAATTTTTTTTTTTACTGTTTCACTTCATTACTGCTGTGTATGTGCTCCATGTGAGTGATGTAGATGCTTAAGTAGATGGGTTCCGACTTACAGTGAAAATCGCGTTACGTTGTGCCATAGGAACGGATCTCTGATGTAACCCGAGGACATACTGGATTAGGATAGTTATTTGATCACATTGACATATGTTACAGAAAGTATTGAGGTTTGCGGTAGCATAAAGTGAGAACTAAATTTAAGCTTTTTAGTGATTAGAACCTCTTTCTTTCAGGTTTATTATAATATTTTCCAAATGCAACTGCTTTTATAATATGTATACTAAATGTAGCCATTTCTTAGTTTGGCTATGCCTTTCCATTAATTTTTTATCAAATTTGTGAGACTCACCAGTAGACAGTTAGACTAAGCATATTTGAATAAATAAGAGTTTTAGGTTCTACCTGAGCAGGAAGGCAAAGTCCATGACATTGCCCTATCCTTCCTTCCCTGCCCCACTCCTACCCTATCATTGTCTAAATCTGTAAGAATTTGTCTTCTCTGATTAGTTGGAAGAAGACCCTGGCAGGGTAGCTCATTTGGTTAGAGCATCAGCCCAAAAAGGCCAAGGTTGCAGGTTTGACCCCTGGTTAGGGCACATACAAGAATCAACCAATGAATGCATAAGTAAGTGGAACAACAAATTGATATTTCTCTCCCTCTCTTTCTTCTGCTCTCTCTCAAATCAAAATTTGAAGGAAAAAAAGGTGGTCCTGGTTGGTGTGTTTCAGTTGGTTGAGCGTTGTCCAGTGCACCAGAAGGTCCCTGGTTCAGTTCCCAGTCAGGGCACATACCCAGATTGCAGGTTGGATCCCAGCTCAGGGTGCATGCGGGAGGCAGCCAATCAATGTTACACTCTCACATCAATGTTTCTCTCTCCTCCCTCCCTCTCTCTAAAATCAGTAAAAGCATATGTTAAAAAATATATTTTACCAAAAAAAAGGTGTATCTTAATTAGTTGGGAGAAACAGCAAACATTTTCAGTTCAAGAAAAATGAAAAGATTGTTATTTACTATGTCAAAGAGAAAATATAGTTTCATTTTGACATGTTTGATTATAGGTCACACCAGATGTACTACATGTTTGGCTTCCTGTTTCTGGTGTTTATCATTTTGGTTATTACATGTTCTGAAGCAACTATACTTCTTTGCTATTTCCACCTATGTGCTGAGGTATGTATTAGCATTATTCACTTACATTAATTTGTACACGGTATAATTTTGGCATAAGACTGAAACTATTAATTGAAATAATTTTTGCAGATATGTGTCATTAAGGTAGAAATTGACCTGTATTCCTAAGTTAAATGTAGTCCTTTTAGGATTGAATTAAGATTGTATCCCAGTTCAGTAATAGTATTTACTTTGAGCTTAACTTTAAAATGTTAATTTTCTAAGAATAGCACATCATGCTAAATTTTTATTTTTTTAAATGTCTGACTTGATTAATATTCTTTTTGTAACAGATATTTCTAGCCTGAAAATTTAGGAAACATAAACAGATTTTAGTGAAAAAAATTATTAAAACATTACATTGTAATGTGATATTCATGGCAACCTGGCAAAATGATGGTACCCTATATAATAGGTTAGAGTTGATGTCTAAAGATTTAGGTTGTGTTAAATCATTTTTTTATAGTTACTTTCTTTACAGGAGATAAAATCTAACTTTGTTAAAATTGAGATGCTTTTTTAAAAAAATTAAGGTTAACAGAACAGTCATGGAGATGTAAAGTACAGCATAAGGAATATAGTCAATAATCTATACTAACAAAAGGGTAATATGCTAATTAGACTGGACTGACCAGACATCCTCTGGATGTCCAACTTCCTTCCAGACAAAGCCACGGTGGCGGGGGCTGAGGCAGAGACGGTTAGGGGTGATCAGGCCGGCAGGGGAGCAAGTGGTTAGGGGCGATCAGGCCAGCAGGGGAGCAAGCAGGGGCGAGATCAGGCTTGCACGGGGGAGCAAGCAGTTAGGGGCGAAATCAGGCTGGTGCAGGGGAGCAAGCAGTTAGGGGCGAGATCAGGCCAGCACGGGGGAGTAAGCAGTTAGGGGGCGATCAGCCCGGCGGGGGAGGGCAGTTAAAGGGCGATTAGGCCAGTGGGGGAGCGCAGGTAGGAGGCGATCAGGCCGGCTGGGGAGGGCAGATAGGGGGTGATCAGGCCGGCGGGGGAGGGCGGTTGGGGCCGACCAGGCCGGCAGGGGAGTGGTTAGGTGGAAAACCAGGCCTGTAGGAGAGGGCAGTTGGGGGCGATCAGGCCAGCAGGGGAACAGTTAGGCGTCGATCAGGCTGGCAGGGAGCAGTTAGGCGTCGATCAGGCTGGCAGGCAGAAGCGGTTAGGGGCAATCAGGCAGGCAGACAGGCGAGTGGTTGGGAGCCAACAGACCCCTATGCACAAATTTCATGCACCGGGCCTCTAGTATTCTAATAACTATGTATGGTGTCAGATGGGTATGAGATTTATTGGGATGATCACTTAGTAAGTTATATAATGTCTAATCACTGGTGTACACCCAAAATTAATATAATATTGTATGTCAACTGTAATTGAAAAAAAAACAAAATAATTTCCCAAAAGAAAAAAAAATCAAGGTTAAATTCATATAACATAAAATCAATAATTTTAAAGTCAATATTTCATTGGCACTTACTACATTTACAGTATTGTATAACCACCACTTCCATCTTGTTTCAAAATATTTTCATGCCCTAACCGGTTTGGCTCAGTGGATAGAGCGTTGGCCTGCGGACTCAAGGGTCCCTGGTTCGATTCCGGTCAAGGGCATGTACCTTGGTTGCAGACACATCCCCAGTGGGGAGGGTGCAGGAGGCAGCTGATCGATGTTTCTAACTCTCTATCCCTCTCCCTTCCTCTCTGTAAAAAATGAATAAAATAGATTTAAAAAAAATATTTTCATCATCCCCCCCCCTAAATAAAATCCCATACCCATTAACAGTTACTTCCCATCCCCCCTCCCCAAAACACCAATCTGCTTTGTCTCTACAGATATTTCATATAATATGTGTAGCCTTTTGGGTCTGGCTTCTTTCACTTAGCAGACTGTTTTCAAGGTTCAGCATATTGTAACATATTAGTACTTCATTTCATTTTAAAGCTGAATAATATTCCATTGTATAGATACACCCCAATTTGTTCACCTATTGGTGGACATTAGGTTTGTTTCCACCTTTTGGCTATTGTAAATAGTACTGCTATGAACTTTGATGTATAGATATTTGAGTATCTGTTTTCTATTTTGAGATGTATGTATGTGGAAGTGGAATTGCTAAGTCATGTGGTAATTCTTTCGCTTTTTGAGGAACCACCAAATTGTTTTCCACAGTGGTTGCACCATTTTACATTCCTACCAACAGTTGCATGAGGGTTCCAATTTTTCCACATCCTTGCCAACACTGTTATTTTTTTATTTTGTTTTTTTAAATAATAGCCATCCTAGTATGTGTGAAGTAGGTCTCATTGTGGTTTTTCATTTCTCCAGTGACTAATGATGTTCACCGTCTTTTCTTGTGTTTGTTGACCATCTCTATATCTTATTTGCAGAAATGTCTATTCTGTTTGTTTGCTCATTTTTAAATTGGGTTGTTTATCTTTTTATTGAGTTGTAAGAGTTCTTTATATATTCTGAATACTAGATCTTTATTAGATCTATGATTTTCAAATATTTTTCCCATTCTGTAAGTTGTCTTTTCACTTTCTGGATAATATCCTTTACATGAAAGTTTTTAATTTTGATGAGTTTGATTTTTATCTATTTTTTCTCTTGTTGCCATATCTAAGAATTTATTCCTAAATCTAAGGTTACCTTTATGTTTTCTTCTAATATATAATTTCAGCTCATACATTTAGGTCATTGGTTCATTTTTAGTTAATTTTTGTGTATGGTATTAGTTAGGGGTCTGACTTCATTCTTTTGCATTTGAATATCCAGTTTTCCCAGCACCATTTGTTGAAGAGACTCTTCTTTCCTCGTTGAATAATCCTGGCATCCTTGTTGGCCATTGGCCATAAATGTATAGGTTTACTTCTGGATTCTCAATGTTATTCCAGTGGCATATATGCTATCCTTGTGCCAGTACCACACTATTTTGGTTAGCATAGCTTTGTAATAAGTTTGAAATCGGGAAGGCTAAGTCCTTCAACTTTGTCCTTGTTTTTGAAGATTATTTTGGCTATTTAGGGCCCCTTGCAATTTCATATGAATTTGAGGATCAGCTTTTCCATTTCTGGGAAAAAAGGGGGGCGACATTAGAATTTTGATAAGGATTGCATTGAATCTGTAGATCACATTGGAGAGAATGGCCATCTTAACAATATTAAGTCTTCCAATCCATAAACACGGGATGTCTCTCCATTTAAGTCTTCTTTAATTTCTTTTAGTTTCGTAGTTTTCAGTGTACAAATCTTTCTGCTCCTTAGTTAAATTTATTCCTAAGTATTTTATTCTTTTGGATGCTGCTGTAAATGGTTTTTGAAAATGTTTGTTTTTTGGATTGTTCATTGCTGGTGTGAAAAACACAAATGATTTTCATGTTGATTTTGTATCCTCTAACATTGCTGAATTTGTTTATTAGCTTTGTTAGTTTTTGTGTGGATTTTTTTGGATTTTTTAAATCTTGGTATGCTTTTCACATATTCAAAAGGGTAGGAGAGATAGTGAAGTATTTCTTTCACAGATCTCCTGCTAAGATATAAGCCACTTTATGTAAAAATAAGAACTGTTTTAGCCCTGGCTCAGTTGGCTCAGTTGGTTGGAGCGTTGTCCTGTACACCAAAAGGTTGCAGGTTTGATTCCCATTCAGGGTACACGTACATATGTTGTGGGGCAACTGATCGATGTTTCTCTCTGTGTCCCTTCCTCTCTCTAAAAATAATCAATAAACATATCCTCGCATGAGGAGCTAAAAAAAAAGTTAAATAAGTAAATGAAAGAAAGAACTATTTTAAAAACTTACCTTGTTTAAATTATCTATATACATAAAAGCCTAAGCAACCGGCTGACCAGTAGCTATGACACACACTGATCACGAGGGCCAGATGCTCAACACAGGAGCTGCCAAGCTGCAGTGATTTGGCAGCTGCAATTCTCGGGTGACGCACCCAGAACCAGAGAGGAAGAAGCCCGATTCTGGGGTGCGTCACCCGAGAACCACACTCTTGCAATCCAGGACCCCTCAGGGGATGTCAGAGAGCCAGTTTCTGCCTGATCCCCACAGGCCTGGCCAAGGGACCCCACCCGTGCACGAATCTGTGTACCGGGCCGCTAGCCCATTGGCTCCCCACTTTGGGTCTGGCTCCCCACCAGGCCTCTAACCCATTGCAGAGGTCGTGGGTCTGGCCCTTACAGAAACTTGTTGACTCGATGAGCTAAATGATGAGACTTGCAGTACCTACTGGCTGCAGCCCCGACGTCTGGTGCCCACGCCAGCTCATCTGCTTAATACATTGCAGACGGATCATGAGAATTCTCATTTTTTTCTCTTCTAAGGCTTGTCGTCAATCACGAGAATTCTTTAAAAAGATATTAGCTTGTAAGAACATGTAATAAATAACTTCAAAACGCAATGGGTATTTAATTTTAAAGCGTGCTTTTAACATTTATGTAAAACGTTTTTTGTACTCATTCAATAGAAATTTATCTGGCCACTGGGTAAAGCTAGCAATAAAACTACTGGTCTGCAATGTGTTAATATTGATTTCCAGTGGAGGCAGCGAATTTTCCTGCTACCACTCTCGACTGGGAAACCAGCTGTGGCTTCCCTCCTTCTGGGCAGACTAGCACCAGCGGGCAACCTCCAGGGAGGGAAGGAGGTGAAGGAGCAGCTCAGGTGGGAAGAAGGATGTTCCCGCCACAGGACTCCGCCTGGGCAGAACAAGAGCCTGACATTGAGCAGGGTCCTGCCCTAGGCCGACTAGATTCCAGGCTAAGTAAATCCTGTTTGCTAAATAATTGCATTTTGCAGCTAAATGCCCACAAATTGTCAGTTACTGCCAAACTTTTAGGGTACAGTGAGATGAAAGAAGCGAGACAGATACAGAGAGAAAGTGACATAATATTGGGAGAAGAGAGGAGGGAGCCCAATTCCGGGGTGCGTCACCCGAAAACCGCCCTCTCGCAATCCAGGACCCCTCAGGGAATGTTGGAGAGCCGGTTTTGGCCCGATCCCACAGGCCAGGCTGAAGGACCCCACCAGTGCACGAATCTGTGCACTGGGCCTCTAGTGTTAGTAATAACTGAAAACGGTTTTCAACCAGGACTTAATAGACTAATCTTCTTCCTAATATAGTTGACTAGACTATAAGATAAGTTTTGTACCGCTCAGGAGTTTTCTCATGTTTCGCGCACCATCTGTTAAGGACCGCTCACGAGTGTTCTCGTTTTTCACGCCCATGGAAAAAGGAGCGAATCTAGACACTTATGTAAATTTTGTTTGGCCCCTCTTCATAGAGGAAAATGTTTTACGCAGTACCATATGTTAAAAAAGTACTAGGAACTTTAATTGTTTTATTGTTTTTGTAAATAAAAATGTTATAATTATTGAAAAACAACACCTAAAGTGCATTATGATGATTTAAATAACGTGCAGTTTGCCCAAAATCGTGCGGTCCCTGGCATATGTCTTAGAGATTTCTATGTGGTACGCAATGGTTTAATTTTGAACTATGTAAATGTAAATAAGCCTTGTAAGTAAATTAAGTAAAAAGTATATTGCTTTTCTTTGGGAAGCATACATTTTAAAATATAGTTTAATGCTTCATTATTCATAAACTGTTTAAGATTTTCCACATGTTTTTAGCCGGTGCTGAGTAGCTCCACCAAAGATAGGAAGTGCTTTTTAGTCTCTTTAGTGAGGAGGGAAATTGACAAAGTTCAGTAGGAGAAAAAGACCGGAACCAATATAAAACATTAGGTTTATGGGCTATTTCACTTAGCTATCTTTGATTTGTAACTTTATTCTGCTACATGTTATCTATTAATTTGAAATTAATTCTTGTTCTTTGATTTTTTTTCTTTTCTACCTAGGATTATCATTGGCAGTGGCGTTCGTTCCTTACTAGTGGCTTTACTGCAGTTTATTTCTTAATATATGCCATACACTACTTCTTTTCAAAACTTCAGATAACAGGAACAGCAAGTACAATTCTGTACTTTGGTTATACCATGATAATGGTTTTGATCTTTTTTCTTTTTACAGGTAAGAATTTAAATGATTATTTTTAATTAATAAATTTTTAGGCCAGTTATTCAAATTATTTATGAATATTTTCCCTATAAAACCCAGAAGGCTTCTACTACTCAGCACTCCGATATTTAGTCCTCAGTGCAACTAAGCATAGTCTGGTCTGCCCCTCTGTGCGGTGAATATCAGTAAACCAAGGTGAGGAAGCAGAAGCTAAGGGAAGAAGTCTAAACAGGGTCATTGTTGTGCTTAAAGTACTGGAGTACCTTGACCAGTACATCTCAATGTTTTCCCCTGTTAAGCTCTTTTTTTTTTTTTATGTCCTCTTCCTTTCCCCATTGACCCCTTCTAGCCTGCTCCTGCCCCCTGCCCCTGTCCCCACCACAGTACCGTCCATGTCCATGGATTATGCACACAAGTTCCCTGGTTGATCTCTTCCCATCTACATACCCATCCCTGCCTTCCCTCTGAGATTCAACAGTCTGTTCCATGCTTCTATGTCTCTGGATCTATTTTGTTCATCAGTTTATTTTGCCTATTTCAAAAAATAGAGTAAAAATCTCTAGTTACTTAAGTTTAGGAGTAAAGTAGAAATTGGAGAGGTGAAGTCAAGATGAGATTGAGAATAAATGATATCAAGAAAAGATAATCATAGGACTTCCCTTATTCTATAAGTTTTAAACTACAAGTTTAAAATTCAATAAAATAAAATATATTAAAAAATAAATAAATAAAAATAAAATAAAATTTAAGTACTTAATGGTGTACAGTATATATTGTAGTGGTATTTATGTATGTATATTTTTCTCTGCCCATTTGAGTAAGTTTCCTATATCTTAGAGCCCTATGGGTGCTTGTAAGCATGTGTGGAATGACTGAACTAAAAAAAGAAAATTGAGGGACCTTTCTTTGTCACAAAAAATGTATATCTAAAATTTTATCTAAGGTTGTGTTGCATTCTATGTGAGGACATATAGGAGCCCAAAAGAAAAAAAATATTTAAATTAGGATAACTAAGTAGGTTTATTAAGTGCCTCTGTTGCTATATCGGTATATGACAAGCTTCAGACACTTACATCAATTCTGTATTCCAGGTCATTGGTCAGACATAATGAGGTTGGTGTTTTCTAAAGTGGGGTATACCCATAGTTACTTCAGGACTCCAGACCCTTATCTTAGTCGGTCTATTTTACAAAACAAAATAATATTCATTCATTTAAAGAAAGATGCTTTAAGTATGTATATTATATCTATTCCATATTAAGAAAAAGATAAAATACTAAAAGTATTTTGTTAAGGACAAAGTAAACATTCTTAGGGTTATCAGTATGGTGATAAAATGTTTTTTTCTCGTCTTAACATACCTTCTCTTAAACAAGGTTGTTTAAATAGATTTATGTTTTCATCATTACTTTTCTGAAATTAACTCTAACTTCATCCCTAGCTAAGCTTACTAATGACCCTTTGAATAATCAAAAGGTATATTCAAATACCTTCAATATATCCTCCCAAACAGTGACTTGTGCATAGTAGGTACTCAGTACATGTATGCTGTGAGAATGAGTATAACAACATTTATAGCTTTACATAGTAATGCTCCACTTGACTTAGAAAATCTCCTTTAATACTTTTTCTTTATATTACATTTAAAACAATGTTGAAAACTAGACTTAAACAAGGAGTATGTATGTCCCCTTTCTGTATTCTTCTGCACCCCCACCTGTTGGCTCTTTCTCAGGGGTAATCCTGGAAAAAATGGTATGCCTCTCAGTTTTTAAAAATATGTAAGGCAGTTTCATAATTTAGTATATATCCTTTTGCAAAACAGAGTCTCTAAATTTATGTTTAATAAATCTAAGCATGGTTTAGTTTTAAAAAGTACTACACTTGAAGTCAGAAAAAGGGGATTTGAGTTCTGGTCCTACTTACCAGCCATGGGGCCAATAGACAATCCCTCAGAGCCTCATTTTTGTCACCTGTCTAGCATTCAGTTTTTTGGAATCTAGATTGATGAAGATACCTATAAATCAAGGCATATATTTTTTCATGAATCATCTCATGTACTCTGCCTGACAGTCTATGGAGGCAGCTAGGGCATATAAAATTATCTCTGTTTAAAACAAGATAAAGAAATGGGCTTGTAAATTCAGTGGCCTACTCCAAAGATGTTATACACAGCTCATGACAAAGCTGCTCTGTCCTCCGGTACCACACCACCTCTCATTCTCAGTGGGGGTGCATCTTTATTATTATCCTAATTATATTGCTTTTAAACAATTTGTAAAACCTTCCTGCATTATTTTGTTATAGTTCTTTGAAAACCGATAATTCCCAATAACTATACTTAGAAATTATCCCCATTTAATTCTATGAATCTGATGCTCTGTCATATCAGACCTTGAATTAATTTTAATAGCATCTTTCCATTTTATGGTGAAACATTCTTTAAAAGGAAAGGAATATTGTCATCCTTTTCATCTTAATTTCAGTCTTTTGCATGTAATAAGAAAAATGTATTCTAGAAAGCTCAGGTAATCTTATAGTATAAACAGTTCTTTCTGTCAATTTCTGTAGGAAATTTGATTTCAGGTGGTTGTATATTTTTAAAAAAAGCTCATGGATCTATGGTATATTCCTGGAAGGTAACAGTTTTTAGTTTTGTGGCTTTTTTTAAGGAAACAGTCATTTTAAATCAGTATTGATGTGTGAATTATTAGGCTTTCTTTGAAAAAGGATTTATTTTTCTTTTTTCTCTTATAGGAACAATTGGCTTCTTTGCATGCTTTTGGTTTGTTACCAAAATTTACAGTGTGGTGAAAGTTGACTGAAGAAGCCCAGTGTGTCCAGTTAAAACAGAAATAAATTAAATTCTTCATCAACAAACATCTGTTTTGTGACTACCTTGAGTTTTATCAGACTTATTGGCCTAGTAATCCTTCAGAAACAATATAATTCTAAGTACACCTCTTCCCATACATTTTTCCCCACAAAATGTGTTTTCAACACTAAAACATTTGTATTGTGATTTGATCAAGTATATATTCAGTTGTTCTCAATGAAGAGCAAATTTAAATATTATGTGCATTTGTAAATACAATAGCTATAAAATTTTCAGTACTTCTAATGATAGTAATAGAGGAGGCCGTATTAAACAATACTGATGAAATGCCAGACAGTTCATTGTAAATAGAATTTTCTAGGCTCGGTAGGTGGAAAGAATTATTTTTCTTTGAAGGAAATAACTTTTTATCATGGTAATTTTGAAGGATGATTCATATGATGTGTTTATTGGGGGGATGTGGCTTTTTAAAAAAAATCCTGTATTGGTTGTAATTGTTCATACTTTCTTTTCTGTGTTGACTTCATTATTCCCATGGTATTGGCCTTTTAAACTATGTGCCTCTGAGTCCTTCACTTTATAAATTTGTTATCTTAATAAATATTGTAAAAACGTCTTCATTGCATCATTACCTGTTATATATTCAAAGAGAATCTGTAAATAATGGTGTTTTAAAATGAGTTACATGATTTTATCAGATTTTACTGTTTTTGTTAATGTAACACTTTTTGAGTTTTGATTTAAATGAAATACCAGTGTCCTGGGCTTTGTGACAAATCTAAATTTTTTACCACTAGGCAGTAATGGAAATTTTAATCATGCATATCTAGCCAGGTAATTGATGTAAGTCTAATAGTTGATACGGGCCTTACTACATTGTCATTAAGGACTTTGTTTCTGACCAATTTTTTCAAAATACAGTATTTTTTATGGGTTGTTTTTTTTTTTAATCTTCACCTGAGGATATGCCCATTGATTTTTAGAGAGAGAGAGAGATATCAGTGTGAGAGAGAACATTGATTGATTGCCTTCCATCTGCGCCCCAACCGGGGATTGAACCCACAACCTAGGTATGTGCCCTAATTGGGAATCGAACCCAAAACCTTACTGTATATGGGATGATGCTCCAACCAACTGAGCCACACCAGCCAAGACTGCATTTTTTATGTTTTAAAAGTCGATTTTTATGATTAGCAATGACTGGGAAATCTTCCTCTTTATTATTACATTGTCTTAATTTGGATTTCACAGTTTTCTTTCTTAGAGTTAAAAAATAACTATTTATTCTTCTGATTAATTGCAGTTCATGTGGAATATAGAAGTTTGGGATTTCAGAAACATTAATCTGCTTTTATCTATGAGAATATTCATCTTGCATTTTAGGGGCTCAGGGCTTGCTGCTTATGAAAGCAAGTCAGATACTGTCATTAAACTTATAACTAAAATTACTTGCTTTTGTTCATATGATGTTGGTGGGTTCCTGCTCAATAATTTTATGTTGATATCCTTTTTAAAAACTGGCGTATTAGTTTTAAAGAGCGAAGGAGCTTTAGTTATTTTTAATCTCTGACATAGTAGATTTAAGATAGAAAAGTTCCTTTCAAATTTATATATCTCTTGCAGAATATTTAGCTTTTTATACATAATACTGTTAAGGTACCATAGCAATAGTCTGGTTGACTAAATAGAGGTTTTATAAAATCTTCAGATTCAGACCCTAGGCTAGTTTTGTTGGTCAAAGTTAAGTTTCTTCTATTTTATTTTTCCTTCAGGAACAATTAGCTTAGTGATTAAAATAGTCAACTTACCATTTTGATGTAACTTTTTTTCTTTTTCTTTACACTTTGAAGTAGCCATATTTCACACTTACGCAATGAAGAGGCAATTGGAAAATAAAAGTATTAAAGGAAAAGACTTAAAGGGAGGATGAGGAAGGAGACTGAAAAGGCAAGACCAGTGGAAGAAAAGGCCACTTCTCCATGGCTTTTATCATGACTTCTTAAGTCAGCTGCTGTGTTTTGTTTAGGAAGTTCTCTGGGATAAAAGCACACTGGTTAGGCATGTGAGGTGGTTGGTAGAATCTCCGGAGCCTTGTCCTTAGCTTGAGTGTACCCCAGGAAGAGAACAGTTGGGTTGCATTGTGCTCTGAGCACAGCGACTGGGCTTCTTGAGGGGATTGTGGAGAATGACCGCCCAAAGGATAAAGGGCTTCTGGCCGGGACCTTTATCCTGCTTCTGATAGGACCAGAATTGCTCGGATAACCAGTGAACCTCAACTGCTTGGAAAGGTTTTTTTAAAACCCTCATTAATAAAGACCTCTTCCTTCATAGTTTATAATGTAATTATTTATCAGATGTCTGTCTACCCTCCACTAAGATTACAAGTAAGCTCATTGGAACATGGTCTCCAGCTTATCTTGGTTGTCATGGTGCCATGAACACGAAAGGCAGTCACGTGCTTCTGGTTTATTTTTCCTCTTGTCACTTCAGAATTTGTGTCTTTTTTTTTTTTTTAAGTGTCCCAACTCTTGGCTAATTTGATAATCTTAATGTCAACACATAATTTAAAAAAAATTTTTTTAATGTATTGATTTCAGAGAGAGATGGAAGGAGAGAGTGAGAAATATTGACTCATTGTTCCACCTATTAAGCATTTATTGATTGATTCCTGCATGTGCCCTGACTGGGGATTGAACCTGCAACCTTGGCTCATCAGGTCAACACTCCAACCAACTGAGCCACCCAGCCAGGGCCAAAGTAATCTTAATGATGCTATTTAACATTTGCACTTGAAGTTTTATGGCATATGATCAGTACTTTAAATGGAAGGAGTGACTGGAAAGTGCTATTTAGGTAATGAGACAGTTTGGGGGAAGTAGGTGAGTGTAGACCTTTCTGTGCCTATCATACCATATAGGGACACATAGCTTGTACATAGTACAGCCCAGAAGTTGTTCTATGGTCATAAATGGGCATCTTGTTCCTTTATTCTAACTTGAAAATACCTGAAATCTGTGCTATCAATTCCTTATACTTTTATATATACTAGCTAAGATTATGTAATGCCACAAGTCACAAAACACTTTAAAAATTATAAAGCATTACAGGTCTTAAAGATTTTTTAAATCGTTAACTTTAGGCTTTATCAAGGCCTGTTTTTTAATGAACAAAATAAGTAACTTCTGTTAATAGAATGCATTCCTCAGCTTCTGCCAATGGATGGACATTCTGGTGTGTCATCAACATGTAAATTTGTATCATGAAGAAATATTCCATATCTGTATTTTTCTCCTACAGCCAGAATAGATGGTGGCTATATCGTGCCTACAATGAGATCTGTATGTAGAAAATAATACTTTGCTTTCTCGGGTATATTTACTTTGATAGAACCAAACCTGTTTCCTTCTACTGATTTGTTTTCTCCTTCAATGTGACTTGAAGTTGTAACACTAAAAATCATTGTTTCTGCACATTTCCTCTAGCTTTAGAAATTCTATTGGATTTCTTCAGCCTGCTCATTTGAACTTCATCTCTTCGTTTTCCCATTTAATTATCTTCTTTCCTTTTCATTTGTTGACCTGTAGATATATTTGACATTATCATTAATAAAGAATTACATATTTTGTAAAGAAGAAAACACAAGCTCCAAAAGGTCCTATTATTTCCTTTGGATATTTTTAGCAAGAAAGCAGTCTGGGCCACATGAATGGTATTGACCATGATAAATAAACAGGTCATTTCTCTGAAAAGAATTACAAATATGATAGATACAAGTCAAGAGTGACATTGCATTCACTTTTAAAAGCTAGTTTTGATACCTTGCAATCAATGACATTGTTTACATAGAATTCAAGTTTGATTTTCTTCCTAAATATAAGCTAAAGATTTTTGGTTATCATTATTAGCAAAGAAAACCATAGGTGGGTGGGGCAGAGTGAACAAGGCTGCTCTGGCTAAAGCTACAGTCAGACATTTATGTTGTAGCATGTTGACTGGGACTATCTTGTGTACAGCAGTAAACTAGGGTGGTAGGACTAGAGTTACCTTTTCAAGATACCTTTTCAATATTTTCTTTAGCTCTCAGGTTCCAGAACATGCTATTTTGAGTCCATAAAATGACGCATCTTAATGTGCATCCAGCCACATTGTCTTGTACACTTGTTCTATGTTCACTGGCAATTGCTAAACAAATCAGCACTGGCAGAACTTGGCCAGCTCTTCTCTACACTTAGTTTGAACTGTTACCCATGGAAGCAGCTCAAACATAAAGCTACAAAGAGGCTAATTGAAATCAGAATGCTGGGTCATTTCTCATTCAAACAAAGCAGATGGCCCTCCTCGCCACCCTTCTGTCGGACCTGGGGGGAGGGATGATTAAATGCATGTTTAACTCCCACACATGCTTACTGCTCCTTAAAGGAATGACACGCAGCTATTGAAATGCCGGGGTGGAGGAGGTGGGCTTTTTATAAACAGCAGAGCTTGTTTCCCTTTATTATAAAGGTTTAAGAAAAAGGCACTTTAATGGGGATATTCAGTATTTACAGTTTCAACTCAGATTCAGAATATCTATTTTAATTTTCACTTATTTTAATTCATGTTTTCCTTTGGAATAGGTAATCCATGCACATGGTAAACAATTCAAAATGTACAAAAGGATATAGAGAAAAGCAAGTCTCCCTTCATCCTTCAGTCACTTGAGTTCTCGCCCCTGCAGACACCACTGTTAATGGTTTCCTGTGAATCGTTCCAGAAATTCCACCTTAATATTTAACTTACTTATTGAAACCTGTATTTGGATACCTATTTAACTGGCAATGTTAATAGTATTTGGTTTCAAAATGGGTGTGAGAGTTTTATGAAAGCAACTTTGGAGGTTGTGTTTTTAGTGTACAGTGTGTTCAGTGTATTAGCACAAAGCAATACTTAAAAGTGACACCTCATTGATATTTAATATGTAAAGTGGTATAAATCACCTCTTAGGACCTATATGGGGAAGGAAATTTGAAGGAGAAACTCTTGCTCCAAAGCTCAACTATCCGCAGTCAGTACATGATGACAAAAACTACCCAACGCATTGCCAGACCCCAGCTAATGGTGCGTCACATGTACAGAAATGTACCATTGGAAGATGTGGCCTATTTTCAAAACTGAAATAGCTGTAATGTTATCCTTTCTGACTTACATTTACATTCAAATATTTAATCTCTAGATTGCTATAGTTATATGTGAGTAGATATATGTGAAATTCTTTTAGCATGACAAAAGGCTAAATGGGAATTGGGTAAAGATGTAATTTTATATTAAGCCACAGTTATCGCTGATCCTACCACTGTACTGATTGCATAAAAACACAGCGAGGCAAAAGTAGGTTTACAATTGTTCATATGGAAGATAATACAATAATAAATAATAAAACAAGAATAAAACTGTTTCATGTATTCACAACTGTCAACATACTTTTGCTCCACCCTGTATTATGGTTTGGCATTTGCAATATTTATCCTGATTTTACCAGATGTTCTATATATGCATTTTAAAGAGTAATATATTCGTCTTTATTTTCTTAAAACCATATTGTGACCACTATGGGAAGGAGAGGATGTGAGCATTGTT